GACTGTATATTTGTAGTGCTCAAAGGAAAATGGCGCAGTGATTGTTTTATTGGATGTACACCACCTGTATCTTTGTGGTTAAAACTTATTGTTGTCTGACCCAAACGGCCATCTGGTCCCATAAAAATATCTGTATATCAACCAGCAACTCGCCGAGTTCTTGTGTTGTATCCAAACTGTTTGCACAATCATCAACCAATACTGGCATCTGTGCATTCGCTCTTGAATGTGGTGTTACAGAAGTAACTCTAGCTGAACAGCTAGTAGTTTAAGCTACTTCTAGTTTTTCACCATGACAATGATCATTGCATGAGGAAACAATATCTGAATGTCCATAAGTAAAGATCAGCACTGGGACAATACCACTATTCAGGCAGTTAACTGTTTAGGCAAGTGCAGTCTGTTTTCTAGACAACAAACAATATGCTTCGTGCATAATTTCCATCATTAAAACATATGGTGATAATCCAAAACAATTGTTGTTCAAGCACTTGATGACATAAATAGCATATTGACTCATGCTATGAATAATAGACATCAATAATAAACATCTTCGTGTTAAAATAGCAAATAATTTGAGGTTAATAAAAGTCACTAAACTAATTCTGATCTTTAATGATTTAAATAAAAGTGATACAAATTACAATTCATCAACTTCTAGTTCACACCAAAACGATTGTTGTTCAAGTATATAATGAGTTAAACAGCGTCTCGAACATTACTATGTCTATCGTATCCAAACTGGCGTGATAAGCCCTGGTATTTAGTAAAAGGCGTCGTCGGCACTGGCTTTGCAGATATAGTATGGTTGACATATTATTACATTTTTCTTCGCTTGATAAGTACTTACATAAGTTACATTACTTATACAGTATTTTCCTAATGAAGCTTAACCTGCTCCAGGATCAAATATACTAGCTTTTTTGGTTCGCCAGTTCTTCTGAATGATGGATAAAGTTACTTCAAAGTAAACAGATAAAATAATATCAATAATAAACAATTTGGTGTTCAAATAAAGAAATAATGTTATGTTAATAAAAAACCATAAAGATAATTCTGATGTTTAATAACATCAATATAACTGATAAAAATTACAGTTGTTCAAGAAACTGATGGTGTAAATAGTATCTCAGCCGGCCTGATGAGTCCTGGTATTCAACAAAAAGCCTTACCAACACTAGGTATACTACATATAATGTGGTTGAATTGTTATTACATTCTTCTTTACTTTCAAGTTCTTATAGTTGATAAACATTTGCCAGAACGAAGTATATATGGATTGGCTGGAAAGGCTTCACCCCACGTGCCTAGTACATTTCAAGGTCAATTAATGTTTCAGTAGATCCCATATCAACTAGAAATTTTAACTTAATTCAATGTATCTCTATCAGCATATGCCAAGCACTACCTGTATAAGTTGGGCTGATTATTGCACCCTATATGTTAATGGTCAAATCCATTCTGGACACCATTAGTTTTGTGGAGGCAGAGTGGCAGCAGTCATTGCTCATATTTGACTTTCGTTCATTTACTGCACTGCCCGACATAACTGCACATTTTGTATGCCTTTTTTTTCTGTAATCTCCTATAAGTCACAACTATAGCAGGTGATTTAGTCCTCCTTCAAAAGCACCATCTAAGGTGAGACATTGGTGGCAGTTTCTGCAGAATGAAACTTCATGGGAAGCCCTCAGAAGCCTTCTTATCCACTACTGTCCAATGAAGCTAAGTCTAAATATTGGGATGCGCATGCAGCTAGATAGCTTTTTTTTTTATGGAGCACAAGCTTTTTGTGATGTGGAATTCTTAGGAAGATAGGCTGACCGAGTTGCAGCCACTGCAGTTGCTGCTGTGGCTTTATTTTCTGTTGCGACTTTTTCTAAATTACCACTTCAAACCTTATCGTCACAGATACTGCCTTTCTTGGGTATAGACGTCTCTAACACCCAAGTGATATCGCACCATTTCATTTGGCAATCCTCTATGAACTTACCAACACTATGCATAAGTATCTGTGGAGTTTGTTTATGCGAAGAAACCCTACATTCAGACAAATATTTGGTTCCTGTTTTCAGCAGCAGAATGACTAGTCATTATAGGAAGCGAGTCTTCCAGTTTTACCACAATCCTAAACTTCTCTATAGCCCATTATGGTTCCTGAAGCTCGCCTCACATCTCAGAGAATCTCCTGTTTGTTCCATGAGTCACCAACTTCATTACCAGGTGTTTGTTGTCTCCTCTGGTGGCGAGATAGCTCCAAATGGTGGACTTTCTTTATAAGTGATACGATACGTCTTCTTAATTACCCTTGTATTCTTTGCGCTGAGATGAAAACTCAAGGGTAAAACCTGGTCAGCAGCTCTGGTCAGAGTGAGATCATGGGCTTGATCTTATACGTCACTGGCAGAGGACAATATCATCCAGTAGAGGATTTCTCCTAGACCTTGTAACTGTCTCATGTGGTCTACATTTAACATCAAATTCCTTGCCTTGCTCATAAGTATTTCATTTAATGGAAAATTTCATTTTATGATTTTGTAAAACTGCAGTTCATAACGACGACACATGTAGCAGTTGTTTCATCATCATGAAAACATCAAACCAAAAGTTCACTCTTGATGAAACATTGTGAATCTCACTGTATTAATAACGAATAGCATACATTATTGGAATACATACACAGGTTCATTATTGATGAAAAAGTAGAACCACAGTTCGTTACAGATAATACTATGTCATCTTTATCTTCAGTTTATTATAAATAAAACAGGGATAAAAACAATTCATTATGAATAAAAAAATATGCATAAAAACATTTCACTGCAGATGCAAGCACATAAACAGTTAGTTATGAATGAAATGCATAATACTGTATTTTATTACCGATTAAAATAAAACTTTTATAAAAACTATTTTTACAAAATAAGTAGAAACACGATTAATATTAATGAAACATATATATATATATATATATATAACCAAAGCTTAGTGTTGCATTAAAACTACATTACACTATAGATGAAACATGTGAGAACAGGTTCATCATTCATGACACTGAAATATTTAGAGCTGCTGTTAATTATTAACAAAATAATGAGAACATCATTTTGTATTTCATGAAACATACAATATATCGGTTCATTAGTCATGAAACATGTAGAACCATAGTTCATTGTCGATTAAAAATGTGATATAGGAGATCATTAATAATAACCATGCATAATAGAAGTTCATTATTCCGGAAAAGTATAGAAAATCAGTAAATTTTTGATACAAGTTAATACAGTGGTTCATTATAAATGAAACATTTAGAACTCCAGTACCTTATTGATGAAGAAGTAGGGAAACGTAGTTTACTATTTATTAAAGTTGCAGAAAGGCAACAGCTCTATATGGATCATTAATCAGACATTCGTTATTGATTATACCTTCAGCTGAAATTTATAAAGCCTGTACGACTGTACTTTGTAAAGAATTTCGTAGCTCAGGGTTTTATTACGCACAAAGTTCGTGTTTGATAAAAACATTTAGGACAACTGATGGAATATGTTAATAAACAATGTAGAATACAATTCAAATAGTTCATTACCGAGAAAAAAACTTATAGACAAGCAACAAATCCTTACCTTACTAACGAAACATGTATAGCCGTGATAAATTATAAAAAATACAATTAAGACAGAGGTTAATCATCTATCAAATTTTTGCTTAGTTGCTCACCATCGTTCATTGTTAATGAAACCTGTAAGAAGGTGATATAGATTTTTTATAAAGCTTGTTGGCTCTTAATGAAACCTTCTTTTTGATCAAATAAGTTGATATAAAGATTTATGCAATACCAACGATATCGATTCTTTTTTGATAAACAAACAAAACAGTAAATCAAAAATTATACTTACGACTATCTAATGGATGGCGTTTTTATTCGTATAACGTTTAAAAGTCCATTTGATAAGTAACAAAAAATATAAGTTACTTCATTAGATATAATCTTCTTCATTTGACTTTCGCCCCCAGCGACACAGCAGCATGTCTGCAGACTTATAATGCTAGAAACGTGGTTTCAATACCTGTGGTGGGCAGAACACAGATAGCCCTTTGTGTAGCTATGATTTCCTATAGAGTAAAGCATTTTTGTACAAAAATTTGACTTGTTTTAAATATATATTATTCTAAAACAAGTGGATTGTGTGTTGTCCGTTTATTGTTCAAATTTATTGCCAACAAGTCACTGACACATATATAGAATAATCCCAGCCTACTCATGTTTAAGACCCTGACAGTAGCTTTGTGCTTAATTTCAAACAAACTAACAATCATTTGACTTTAATTCCATATAGATTTGGGGTTGGCCGCTCACGTATTTTGTATTACCCAAGCATTTTTACATTCGGGTGGCTGGCAGTTAAAGGTGATGTGGGTTCACACCCGCGGGTCGAGCGCCCTAACTATCAGGCCATGCCAGGTCTGCTTCTTTAAATATAATACTGGTATGCATGAGTTTTAGTTTGAAGGTCAATCGTTATAAACTTAAAGATATTATATTTGCATTTGTAGACCACACGTCGTCTACAGTACGAGATTTTACGTGTTATGGGACGAGTTTAAGATCTATTCACAAACTTCATCTTTTGTGGTCAATTATAATTTCTAAAAAAATGTATTTTCTATGACTAACATATCGAAGTTACAATGATAATATATTTCATACTTAATCGATATTTAGTACAGCCATTGGTAATGAATTTTTACACACATATAAGCATAATTTAGCGGTATCTTTTTCCAATATTACTATTTCCAGATTAGTATTTATTTTCCCAATAATTTCGTATTTCATATTTTAACCAATATTAATCTTACTACTTTTTAAAATAGTTATGTTTATAAATGGTGCATTTCCAAAAGATTTATGGAAAAACAATCATTAAACAAGCTGCTTAAGATTTAGAAAGACCACTATAATTTTTATTGATATTAATAATAGAACTGACCCTTACTTGAAACACAAACTTTGCATAAGTCATCCCCATAGAATCTTCGCTCGCTTTTGTAAAGAAATCACCGCTTGCGTACCACAGTACCGAATGAGTACCAAAACTCAAGGAGAAACCAAACGTCCAATAAGCAAATCCGCCTAGAAGAACGTTAGCTGCGTTTTTGATAAGAATGTTGACTTCATTTTTTCTAGAAACAATGCCAGACTCCAACAAAGCATAACCTTTAAAAATAGTAAATAAAAACTAATTAAAGCTAGTAAATAAAAGATTCAAGTTTAAAACTAACATTTTTTAAGTAATCTGCTGTATCTCAAATTTCTCACTGTTTACTTATGGTTGTTACTTGTCCTGTCAGTAATCTAAGGTTGTCTGATAGTTCAACTTGAATAAGAGGACGCATACCTCAGTAGCGTATTCTTCAAGTCACTACCAAAAAATTGTTGAAGAATAATTAATTTGTATTTTAATACACAGCATTTTGATTTAAATAACTTTAATAAATTTCAGTCCTGTACATAATATGGAAATCACACAAATTTTTATTTTTCATTTTCCTGTGAGAAGTAAAACATTACGTTCCTTTACATAAGGTTCACTACCATTTTAGCTTCTTTCATCTCTCTTGTTGTTGTTTTTTTAAGTTCAAAAAAATATACTGCTAAAAACGGGGTTTCGATATCCGTGGTGGGCAGAGCACAGCTAGCCCTTTCTGTAGCTTTCTGCTTTATAACAAACAACACCTACTACGAACAAAATATTAAAATATTTATAAATAATCAAAATCTTTTTAATAATGTACATGGAAGTGGGAAGGTACGTATTTAACAGAAACCTAGGTGAAAATATACAGATCGATAATTGGGTCCGCGTAATAAAAGAATAAAACAGAGGTCACTCAGTTCCTGACTTCATAGTAAAGATGAGAAAACAATAAAACAGTGTATCACACTGTAATTGACTGCATAGTAAAAATGAGAAAAGAATACAGCAGAGTATCACACTACCTCACTGCATAGGTAAGATGAGAAAATAATAAAACAGAGTATCATACAGTGACTGCATAGTAAAGATGAGAAAAGAGTAAAGCAGAGTATCATTCAGTAACTGACTGCACAGTAAAAAATGAGAAAAGAGTAAAACAGAGTATCATTCAGTACCTGACTGCATAGTTAAAATGAGGAAAGAATAAAACAGAGTATCACTCAGTACCTGACTGCATAATAATGAAAATGAAAATAATAAAACAAAGTATCACTAAGTACCTGATTGGTTAGTAAAGATGAGAAAATAATACAGCAGAATATCACACACTACCTCACTGCATAGTAAAGATAAGAAAAGAATAAAACTGAGTATTACACAGTACCTGACTGCATAATAATGAAAATAATAAAACAAAGTATCCCAAAGTACCTGACTGGTTAGTAAAGATGAGAAAATAATACAGCAGAGTATCACATACTACCCCACTGCATAGTAATGATGAGAAAAGAATAAAACAGAATCTCAGCTGTACAGAAAAGGTGAGAAAATAGAGTATCACTCAGTACCTGACTGTACAGTAAAGGTGAGAAAATAGAGTATCACTCAGTACCTGACTGTACAGTAAAGGTGAGAAAACAGAGTATTTCACAGTACCTGACTGTATAGTAAAGATGAGAAAAGAATAAAACAGAATCTCACACTGTACAGAAAAGGTGAGAAAATAGAGTATCACTCAGTACCTGACTGTACAGTAAAGGTGAGAAAAGAATAAAACAGAGTATCATACAGTAGCTGATTGCATAGTAAAGATGAAAAAAGAATAAAGCAGAGTACCATTTAGTACCTGACTGCATAATAATGAAAATGAAAGTAATAAAACAAACTATCACTCATTACCTGACTCGATAGTAAAGATGAAAAAATAATAAATCAGAGTATCACAAAGTACCTGACTGCATAGTAAAGATGAGAAAAAAATAAAACAGAATATCACACAGTGCCTGACTGTACAATAAAGATGAGAAAAGAGAATATCACAAGTTACCTGACTGCATAGTAAAGATGAGAAAAGCGCTAGTGAGTATCCACACTACATCATTTGCGTCGTCGTTTGACTTACGATCTCCACCGGTTGAGGAGTTCTTAGTAGCCAGCCCTGGAAACGTCGTCTCTGACATCAGTTGTCTTTATACTGTCCTTGATCCTACCAATAACCTATAGCTTAGTTTGAAGAACATAACTATATTACAAGCCCAACATTCCGATCATCTGTTCAATACAAAAAGTACACAAATCTCAAGTGGTTTTACCATGAAATTCTATAACCAATGTTACTGCATAATCCTTCCATAAGTGCTAGATAAATACTGAGTAAAATCCACACTTTATAAAAAGTAAATGTATTTTAAAATATTTTTTATTAAGTCGTAAGATTTGTAAAGAAATGTTTATCTCATTTTTTTTTCTTCTTTTCACATCTTACCTATCTATCATGCAAAGTAAGTTTCATTTTAAAATTAAAAATACTTTTTTTCAGTAAGTAATCTCTGTACGGGTTCGGTATATTTGAACGATCTCGCAACCACCATAAAAATTAGGAAGTAAACATAAATTATGCCTCTTTCATTCTAGAATAAACACAAATTATAACACGAAATAGCTTAAACATCATAACATTATACATTTATATATATATTTATCACACTGTCCTTTCACCCGTGCCTGGCTAACAATACAGAAGTTGCAATGACGCGGCTCACGTGCACTCATGTTACTGTATCAAGTAACATAAAACTGACCTTTGCTCTGTACAAAGTAACTTGTCTTGACTGTGTTTTGTAAAATAACTAAGATGTATTTCTGTCAAAAAAATATTAAATTTCTAGCAGACTAAAGACACAACCTATCTCATTGAAATCTTGGTTCAAAAGAAAGAAATGGCGCTAGCCACGTTAGAAAGGATGAGAAAACCACTAGGGGGACATTCTGAGCTTTCGATTGGTTATTCATGTCTTTTATAGAAGTAAGTGTATATAAGGGAGCGTTTCCAAAGATGAAAAGAGGTGGGCAGGGTGCCACTGTGTTTGATTTATTACATAAGCAATATCTTAGCAAATAGAAAAGGTAAGATCTTCTTATTTTATATTTTAGCTTGTCAATATCTGTAATTTGAGTTTCTAATTCGTACGAAACTGTGTACTTAGTATTTTCACTTCATAAACATTTAATTTGAACATTCAACTTGCCACGTGACACACAAAAATCGATGTATATGTATTTTTTAAATATTTACTTTTCAATTAAGTAACTGAGTAATGTATAGTTTTAAAATTTGAATACTAATCTAGAGTTTGATACCAAACTTAATGAAATAAATTCATGAAATAGTAGTTCAATAAAACTTTAAATGCGAGTCAACAAACTAGATGACATGGCCATTCACCTTTTACCCATCTCAAAAGGGTTAAAACTGATGAAGCCCAAGTTGGGATTGACCTTTGACTCAAGGGATCTAGGGAGGTTACCAGTACTGAAATACATTTGATGTTAGGGCAGAGTCATAAAAGCTTTGGAGAATGCTCGTCTATTTTTTAGTAGCGATTTTCAGGAAGAAGCAAAGTGTATCTAGGTTCTGTGTTGATTTTAGAAGACTGTTTTTAGCACAAGAGATGGTTTGTATGAATTCTGCACTATACTGTTTGGTCTGTGTAATATGCTCATCACTTTCGAAAGACTCTCAGTGGTAGAAGTGTGTAGTCTACATCAACAATATTTTGGTGTTTGGCCACACTTTTGAGTCTGCTGAGAACTTGAAAATGGTATTCCAGTTGATAAATAAAGCACCTAAAATATTTCATTCATGTGAACAAAAATGGAGTTTCTCAATCCCATTGGAGGGAGAGATGGGGTATCAAAGGACCTTGCTAAGATACCTGCTGTGAGAGATTGTCCTTAACCTATGACAAAGTGAGAAATTATGGTTTCCTCAGTTTCAAGTCATATTACCAATGAGTTGTGGCAAACTTTTCCAAAATATCAGTACCATTTTCTTCTCGCATGAAAGTCGAGATGTACTTTGAATGGAACGAGGAATAAGACCAAGAATTCTATCCTTAATGCTTGTTTTAGTCGATTTTCCAGTGTTAGCCTACCCATGACAAGACAGCAAATTCCTGTGAGACATGGATGCCAGTGACAAAGGAATCAGAGCAGTGTTAGAAAATGGAGTAGAATGTGATTGCATGTGTTAGTAATGTTCTCACAGCTCTAAAATGCTGATATTGTACAATGAAGAAAGAACAGCTTGCTGAAGTTTACTGTCTGGCTGTACCATGTTTCAATGAAGTGGTTTATGAATTTTAAAAACCTAGAAGTGAATATAACACCTTGGATAGAAACATTGCAAGAATATAACTTTGTCATAGTTCATTCCCAGGCCCACAACATGGGCATATGGATGGACTGTCTTGCCACATGGTGAGAGACTGTGTGTTTATGGAATGTCATAATTCTTGGCATCATTAGGACACCATAGCAAAAACAATACATTAAATAGGAGATTCCTCCGGTGACTTGATACCAAAATTAACACTCCATGAGCTCCATGCAACTCAAAGACACCAGCCTTGCATGTGTGATTCTTGCCATATAATAAGATAAGTCCAACCTGCAATAATAGAGAAACATAGCATGGACATATGTAAATTGCAGCACTTGTGTGATCAGTTAAAAGTGCAAGAAGGTGTACTATACCATTGCAATAAGGCATTGAGATGCAGTTCTGCAACTGTAGTGCTTGTGATTCTTAACCTCAATGGAAATAAATTCTCCACACTCTTTTGCTAACATTTGACAGCAGTTATTCTGATTAGCTATGGTGTAAATAGTGTGTAGTGTTTATTCCCAGAGAAAGAATTAGTTGAGTTATTGTTCACTCAATCAGAAAATTGTTGAGGTCTCCACTGCAGAGAACAGCATTTTACATCACTTGTCTACTCCAACAGACTGCAAGATGTTATTGATACATACTCCTTTTTCTCGCCTATTTCACAAAGTTGGCTGAGGCGTATACATTAGTCGATACATTAGAACACCTGCCACTGATGTATTGGCAGAAAGCTGAATAACCCAATTGGAAACACTGGAAGAAATCCAGATAGATCAAGGAGTTGATTTCAGGATTCAACAGTTTACTGAGATATGAAACGTGTTAGGTATGGCGAATATGCATCTTCACCTTATCACTCCCAGCCTAATGGTTTGGCATAATGTATAAAACATACTACCAAGGTAATGCTTGCAAAATTTGTTAATCCTGACAGAATAAACTGGGATGGACAGTTGTTATACGTGATAATGGTATACACAGCAATGAAACAGGAATTTACAGTATGTCCACCATATATGATCATGTTGGGGTGGAAAATACTCCTCCCTGTTGATGTTCTCTCCCACCAGAAGGTGTCCCACAATGTCCACAGGAATACGTGGAATGGCTGATCTCCATGACGATTGGCACACATAAGCTCTTCTGATAACAACTAGGGAAGGCTACTCGATTATAAATTATCGTATTGCTTGCTCGCATATCTACACAAATCGCACTGTACACATGGTTCATGATAGTATATAAGTTATAACAACTGTGTATAAATATTTAGTCCAAATATTGCAACTATTTTTGTAAGTATAAATATATTTTTGTAATGGATTTTTGATAAAAAATACAAGTGAATAGTTTATTTATATTTACAATAATACACTTATAATACAATATTATGTCATATGAGCTTTAATTTTTCAATATTCACATTATCAAAGATTCTTTACAATGGGACATATATGCATCATTATCCTTCAATGGTAAATTGTTACCCCCGTATTCTATTATTAACCCTTTGACGACCATAAGATTTCTGCATGAACGTTTTAAAACTATATTCTGTTTTATATGCATATAGGCCAATCCTAATATTTCAAGCTCTGCCTTTGGTGAGGGCCCTCCATAAAATATTTGTCCCGGGCCCCCACAATTTTAATCCGGCCTTGAGTCTACACCTGATATTCTGACATAATGATCCACTAATGTATGAATTACCTACCAATGCAAAGTGCCTGAAAGCATGTGGAGCACTTATATAAGCTGTTTCCATACATAACAGATGAGCCTTTGATGCACTGGCTTGAAAAATAGTCTAAAGATGAGGCCAATGAATAATACGAGGGTGAGGAAGCCTTCTAGACTTGTGTTGAGACGCCTGACAAGGGAGAAGGAGCTGAAGGCTTGATGAGAAATTACTAGCTATAGAAGGAATAAACTTCTATACATAAAAAGCTGTTCGATAAGACTCCAAGTTCAACCCCAAATCAATAATGGTAGGACTGATTGGTCAGTACCAGCTAGGGCAGTCTCAGATCTGCATAACCATAGACCGAGAGTAGATGGTGTTCCTCACCATCTAAGCTATCAAGTGATACACACTGAAACATATACACTACATTGTGATATTTTCACTTGATTATCCAGTTAGGATGGTTGTTTTTGTCGAAAAATCAGTGATCCTTACTTTCTGAGCTATTAGGTGGTATTGAGATACATATATATATATACTACATTTCAGAATTATCACTCGATTGTTGACAGCTAGTACAGTCGTTTCATTGGAAAATCAATAACTTAAAGGGTGTCATGACTCTTGCTTTTTGAAGCCCTTGAGTGATAATGTGAAATATAAAAAACCGTGTTGCATTACATTTAATGGCCAGTACGTGGTCAGCAGATATAATTTCTACTACATCAACAGTTTGTAGAGCAGGAGATGATAGCTAGAGACTTAAAAGCTCATCTTAAAGGGCTTTGCAACTCTTGGTTTTGGAGCTATCAGGTTGTATTAGACTTACGTCCAATCCAGCTCTATTTGATGGTTGTGAGTCTTGAAAATAGCCCTGTATCATACTTTTCATTACAATAGGCTTTGTCGTTAGGTTATCATGTCAAAAGCACACCACTAATCCCTCCATGCTTTCCATAATCAATCTAGTGTACACGATGACGACAATTTCTCAGTGCCAATTTATATCGTTCGCTCACACAGAATTTCATAGGTGCTGCATCTAATGACTTCAACGGTATGTCTTCTTGTGGAATAACATGAATACATATTTTACTATTCAGCTGCTTGAGTCATGCTATCGTTGAAATACGTGGTGGAAATAATTTGGATGCATGTGACATATTTCACTTTTCCAGACAAAATTATTCTTAATTATGTTGCATACCATTGCCTGAGGCACATGGAC